GGCTTCAGTTGGGCTGAACTCGGGAATGAGTTGTGCCTCACAAAGAGGTAAGAAAGTACGTAACTGAGGCTTTTCTGACGGTGGCGGTGAGACCGAGACAGAGAAATACAAGGAGGAAGCAGAGGCAACTGCAGGATCTGTCGATGAGAACATCTACCAGGAGAGGGCCACACGGACGAGTCCTCCTGCTCATGCTAAAGCATGCTGTACGTCTCATTTAACATATGTCAGTATCTATCTATATAGTAGAGGGGCTGGACTATCATCCATTTACTCAAACATTCTCAAGTGCCCACTCTGCCGTGGGCTGCAGATACAAAGATGAACAAGTTATGTTCTTCACCTTTCTTGAGCTTACGGTTTAAGACATACATGAATAGAACTGGCAGGACAGTTTTTGAGGTAGTAACCAAGGTTACTACGGGTTACCAGGATCCCCCTGCACAACTGAGCTTTCTGCTGCTGCCACCTTGTTCTTCGTGAGAAAGCAACAAGGGCAGAGAGAACACCACAGAGAAGGAAAAGCGAATCTTCCAAGTTCCGAAACAGACATTTACAACGTTACAGTCAGCAGCCTGCACAGGCCTCAGCATTTTGAGTACCATAAACCCAGATTATACCCAGTGCTACATCTAGGAAGCACTCCACTCGCCTGAGGGGAGTAGGAGACAGGCTGGAAAGGAAAGGAAGACTTGCCCTGCACTGAGGCCTGGGGCTGGGCTGCAACAGACCGGCCCACTAGAGAGGTCGAAGCTCTGAGGAGAGAAGGCATCTCACCTCACTTCCTGCTTCCCCTGAGAAAGTAGCAAGCCTTATTCTATTCGAGTGTCTACCCCAAATTCATGTGTTAGAATCTGGTTGGTTGTGACGGAATTAAGAGGAAATTGGGTAACTTCATGGTGTCAGAAGGTGGGACCTTTGGGAGTGACTGGGAAATTGGGGTGGGGCCTCTGTAATGGACTCTTGGTGGAATTATGAGCAGGGGGGAAAGCGTGCGTGTGCACACATGTGCACGCGTGCACACACACACACACACACACAACACAGAGATGTGTGGCCTCTTCTTTCATGACGTGATGCCCTGTGTGACCACGGGATCCCAGCAGAAAACCATGACCATTCGGGAGCCCTGGACCTCGGACCTCAACCAGGAGATGACTGTCTCTAGTCTCTTAAGTGACCCAGACTCGGGTATTTTCAGCCGCGGGCAACAGAATGGACTAGAACACCTTGCACACAAATGTCCATCCCCTCCAGCCCTCCCCACCCCCTCCACACGTCCCCCAGGTGTGGTGAGAAACAACGAAGATCAGCTTGGTTCTCACCAGACATACAAGGAAGTTCGTCCTCAAGTTTCCCCAGCCCGGATGGAAGGTGGCAGGGCCGGGTCTCAGACGCAGCAGTTACAGCAAGGATGAGGACCAGAGCTGGGGCTGCAGACACCTACAAGATGCTGGCGGCAGCTGCTGCAAGGCCAGTGAGGACGACTGGTGTTCCAGCCAGTGCCAGCCAGGACAGAGACCAGCTGAGGGCCGGGTGCCCCCTCCATGAAACCAGGGCAAGAGGCCATCTCTGCCACAAAGCCCCAAAACTGAGAGGCAACCTGGGAGAGAAGGTGGTGCCACTAGGCAGAATGTGAACTCAAGAGAAGACTTGCGGGGCTTGATTGTGGTGCGATGGTAAAACGTGGCCCTCTGTGAGCTGACCACGGGGAAGGTTCCTAGTTCAAGACTAGGACCTTGTGAGGACAGACGTACATCTGACCACGACACGGGCTGGCTGAGGGTGAGTCGCAGTGTCAGGACCCTGCCGAGGGTGGTGCTGGCTCTCTCATCATGGAAGAGAAAGCAGAAAGGACAGGTGAGAGGCGTCCTCCTGTCTGGGCAGAGAAGTACAGGACGAGGACAGGAGCGGGCCAAGGGAACTAAGGGTAACTCACACCGGCCAGAGTGCAGAGGGGGATCAAAACGGGCCTGCACGGTTACCTGAGGCCAGGCCCATGCATACGCCCTCCCACCCGAAGTTCACGGGATTCCGGAAGGACCGGAGAGGGGCAATGGCGTGACGACGGTGCCATTTCCCAACGACCACTGTGGGCGAGTGAAGAAGGCCTGAGCGGCTGACCTGGGAGCACCAGCGGCTCCTGCGGGCAGAGGTTCTTCTCTCCGCAGAGGTTCTGCCCTCCTACTACTGAGTCGGGTCCCAGCCATCGCAGACCCGCACTGCCCGAGAAATAGGAAGGCACTTCTTTCTAGGTTTCTTAAGTCAGCATTTAGCCAAGAGCCCAAAAATGGGAAGAGAAAGTTAGTTTAGCATCAAAACTAGTGGAGTTTTAATAGCCTGAATCTTGATAATAGAAACCAGAACCGATAATAGCAACGAGCCCAATGTCTCCCACACGCATATGTGCACACATAACGTGTCTTATTTAATGTTACTGAGCGCTTTAGAAGGAACTGAGAAATGTCTGTGTTTAAGAATTTTGCCATAGTGTACATGTGCTCACTGGGAAGAGAGAGACAGAGAGAAGGAAAGTGAGAAATCACCTCCCAACGGGGCTGGACACTCTGCAACCTCTCCTCTTCCTGAGACTTTGGGCACACATGTACATGCACCTGGTGTGACTCTGAAGCCACTGGGTCAGGGAACTGAACCATGGTCAGCCACGTGGGAGTCTAGCTCCTTAACCACCATGCCATGTGCTGGCCCCAAAAGGTGTGTATTTTTATTCACACAATGTTTCCTCAACAGCTCGCCCTGCTGGGCGCAGCCTGCTCCATGGCAGTGGGTGCTGGTGCCCTGGGCAGCATTCTCGGGGGTGGTTTGTGAGTTGCTCCAGGAAGTCCTAACCATCGCTTGCTTGTTCAGTGCCAATGAATTTGTAAGCCTGTTGAGACTTCATAAAACATGCCCGTCTGTTCCAGGAGTAGATCTTGCATTCTCTCTACTGTCCAAAACAAGCCAAAAAACCTACTTTTTTTAAAAAAAGAGTCAACACCCAGCTGCTGTGGGGCAGCAGTGATGCTAGTGTCACCAAAAGCTGAAGCCGCGTGGCAACCGTGGGTTCGGATCCCTGGGTCGCTCTGAAAATATCCTTCAGAGCTGGGGGGAAGGGACACAGGATGGTGTGTGCCTCTGTGGCTATTATGTACATGCATGTCACTATTGTTCAAGGAAAAAAAATCAAATATACAACAGTTCAGATTGGGCGCTCAGAAGGCATGCGTGGGTCTGCATTTCAGCTGTCATTCACTCGCTCTTTGACTTACAACTAGTTAACTAACCTTCACAGGCTTCAGCCTCATCAGTTACATGATGATGTCGGTAAGAATATCCATCTGTAGGGCTACAGGACAGCTAAATGAGACGACACAGGCAAAGTGCTCATATCAGTGCCTGACACATAACTTCAATCAGTGTTTGTTTTTCATAATGTCAAAATATATAGCTAAACAATGCAACAACCAAATTAATTTTAAAATGATTAAGAATATAAAGACCAGCTGATGATGTAATGGTTACGTTGCTGCAATATAAAGACCAGCAGATGATGTAATGGTTACGTTGCTGGACTCCCACATAGTAGACCATGGTTCAAGGCCCAGACCCAGTGGCTTCAAATTCATGCCAGGTGTACGTGTGTGTGCCTAAAAGCCCAAGAGGAGAATGGAAGAGAAGCGACTGTGCTGTGGCCATCCCCCTCGGGAGTGATTTCTTGTTTTCTGTCTCTGTATTTCTGTCTCTCTGGCAAGTGCGCATCCCTATAGGAAAAAATATTTCTATCCCAAAATAAATAAATAAATAATATAGAATTATTTGGCTAAAAAAAAGGTAACATAAAACTGCTGTCACGAAGTAACTTTGGCCTTGGCCGTCTCACACTAGGTGTAGGCTCTTCCGGGAGGATACGCAGCTTGAGCTTTGCAACTACGTTCCTCTCCAATACAAGTGCAGTAGGTTTGCCTTTTGCCTTTGCTTTAAACTGGGTTGGTCACACATAGTGATTATTTTGCCATATATAAATCCTTACAGACTGATGAAAGTAAAGAGGACTGAGCATCTTTTAACAGAATAGTCCAATGTGGTTGGTTCAAAGGGAAAGTCATTCTGACGAGGAACAGACAGTGGACCTTTTGCTTTGGTTTTGTTTTTAGGAGAGAGTTTTGCTATAGGGTGTGTGCACTCACCAGAGAGACAGGGAGAGACAGAAAGCGAGAAACCACCCCCTAGAGGGGGATGGCCACACCACAATCCCTTCTCTTCCATTCCCCCTTTGAGATTTTGGGCACACACGCACATGCAGCTTGAGTTTTAAGTTGCCGGGTCCAGGACTTGAACTGTAGTCAACTACACTGGAGTCCTGCAACGTAACTGCTACACCATCTGCTGGTCTCAGCCCTACGATTCTTAAAGGGGCCTGGAGCCCTGCTCTGAAGCTGGGGAGTCCTGTCGGTGACCTGGACCACATCTATATTTTCATGTCTTCACCTGTAACAGGGGTTTACTGCCTCCTTCCTGGGATGCCATGAGAGCTAAGCATGGTGAGGCTCACAGGTATGGTGGGGCCAGGCTTGCCATCGGCCTGCACTCAGCGCTCCTTCATATCCCGCCCTGCTCCACAGAAAGACAGAGCAGAAGCTGCACTTACTCCTGCCTGCGGAGTAAGTTTTTCTCACCCTTCTATGCTCTTAGAGAATGGCGATATATCCTGGACATAAGACAGTCATGGTGTGAGCTCTCATGTGTGCTCTGCTCTGCGAGGGCAAAAGAGACTCCACAGAAGGCAAAAGGAAACATCGGTCTATCTACCCTGCATCCAACAGGCCCGTTTCTCCTAGGAATCCCTCCCAGATTTCACAGGGTCACTCCTTTCTTCCCCATTAGCAAAACGTAACCACAATCCTTCAGACTCTGAAGGGCTGAAACTTTCTTCTCTTCTTTGTTAAGAATGCCAGACAGAAATCTTGACTATAGTTGTTCAAGTCAGGAAAAATGAGTCTTTTGCAATGAGAAGAGCTAACATTTATTCAATCAACAAACACTGAGTGCCTGCCAGGGCCAGACTCTCTGCTATATTAAGACATACAGGACACGTGACAAGTAAACATAAATCTGCAAGACATCAGCCTTCCAATGTTATGCCCAGATGTCACTGAATGAGTGACAATTAGCATAATGTTTCATCAAATGCCTACTAAGAAGTTAACTGCAACTGATGATGTATAAAGAAAACCAAACCCAGAATGCCAGAACTGCCGCCAGCTGAGAGTACAGAAACGAGGTCCCCAGAGTGCGTAGGTGCTCACTGGAAAACCACAGTCGGCCACAGCCTCGGACAGCTGGGAAAATTCTTGGTAGTCCACTTTGCAGTTGAATGACTTTACTAAGGTTTAAAAAATTCATGTCTACACCTAGATTCATGTCTTTATTACTAAATAAAGGAAGAGTCAAAGAAATAAATGATGAAATACTATGATCCCAAATGTTTCAAGGCATGGAGAAAGTCTCACCTTCTTTATCAGCCTCAGAGAGACCGCTCTAGTTGACAGGTACAAAGAAAACTGTCTCTGAATATACCACTGTCTTTGAGCATACCATGCACATGGACACACCTCTTACGACACCAAGCTGTGAACGCCCCTGCTGCTGCAGACGGGCTTTTGAAGAGCAGCAAGGGAGATACACATGCACAACTGGGCTACTTTTTCATCTCCAAAATTGCGCTTCCTGGTCCGCGGTTCTTTGCGCTGCAGATGTTGCAGAACTGCACAGGGGAGTTCTATAAAGTAATCAAAATACACATGTTAAAAAAGATGTCTTTATATTCTTACATTCAGAAATAAGGTAGGAGTAGGCAGGGACAGAGAGGAAGTAACAGAATGTCACACTCTTCTTTGGAGAGATCATCTTTGGTTCACAAAGGATTCAGTCAAGACAGCTGTTGTCAGTGACTCAGAGGACAGGCCCTGGCAGGGCAAGCCTATGTGACTCAGAAGAACCTGAACTGACACTAAGAAAGAATGGCAACATGGTGGAGAGCCAGGCCGACGTAAAATGGTTCTCCAGATCACACAGCTCCACAGCCCCACAGCCAGCAGACCTGCGGGGACTCACTTCCATGGTGTGCTGTCACCGTGTTTATGCAGTACACTACACTTCTACATCTGAAGCCGGGCAACCCGACTTTCATCTGGGATAAAAAGAACCTACTACAACGCAGAACCCAGAGAGCTCCGGGGGGGGGAAGGGGCGAACATGAGCTTCCGGTCACATTTCTCTCTCCAGCTGACGGCTGCCAGCTGCCAACTCACCAAGCTGGGCACGGGCAGGCACTCCTTGTGGAACATGTGCCGGCAATGGAAGACCACCATGCTGAAGGGCTTGGCTGCATCTGGCGAGAGAGAGAGGATAAGGTGGTGCCACACACAGACTGGGCATGTTGACACCACATGGATGGACAGTCCAGTACAGGCTGCCCTCAGAGGACTGCTCACCTATACAAGCATTCCTGAGGGGCGGTGTGCTCAAACACATGGCAAGCCTTATGATCGCGTGGCTATGGATCCACGGCTTACTGGCTCAGCCTCTGTCAGGTACCAAAACTACGAATGGGGCTATTCAGGGCCAACAGCCACGATTACGTGAAGAGTCAGAACCGGCAGGGGTGTGCTCCTGTGTGCCTCTACTCATGGCCACGAATCTCACATGCCACGTCCTGAAGTCTGGGTTGTGGCTGTATATGAACGCCTTCCCAGGTCACCCAGCACCTCTGCCAAGACCACTTGCTGACTTTAGAGGCAGACCTAGGTCAAATACCCAGGGCACGACCTTGCATTCGCTGCACTCCTGCTCGGCCGTCCCTCACTGCTCCTGCATGTGAGGCCGGCCTATTCCCATGAGATGCAGCATCCTCCGCAGATTGAATTGGGAATCTCATCTCGCTGTACAGGGGGTACATGTGGCCGCTTTCTACCCAAAACACTATAAAACACACTCCTTTCCTGAGCCCATTAGGACTTTAACAGAAGCACCTAAAAACCTAAACGTACTTCCTCTAGAGCAGAACCTAAGTGGAACGGTCTCTCCCGTTACTGCCCGAGTAAGTGCCCCTCGCGTAAGGGGGGGCTACCTATGTTGTCTAGAACTTGTCTATGCTGAATTTGTATTTTAAAAGCATTTTTAGTATCCCGGCAATTAAGCTTTGCTAATTTTTACTTTTTTTAAACTTATTTTTTAAATGTGTTTTTCAAAGGTCATGTGTGCTCACTAGGGAGACAGAGAGGGAGAAAGTGAGAAATCACCCCCTAGTGGGGGTGGCCACTCCACAATCCCCTCTCCTCCATCCTCCTCCTGGGATTTGGGGCACACATGCAGAAGTCCCAATGTGATTTTAAAGCTGAGCATGGGCAGGAACTCCTTGCAGAATATGTGCTGGTAATGGACTCAAACCGCAGGCGACCACGTGGGAGTCCAGCACCACTATGCCACCTGCTAGCCCCCAGTTTCTACTTCCAAGTTATGTGAGCTTCCTTATTTCATGTCATTATGATCGCCAAGTAAGGTGTTTGTCATTATCGTGAATTAGACAGCTACTAAGCACTGTGGGTAACAGATGTTTGTCTTTTAAAGAGTCACAGCAACTGAAATGGGAGATAACCTGGCCACCAAGAACCACACCAGAGAAAAAGACTACACTACACAAAAGGCAAAACTAGTTATAGGGCCTGTAGGTGGCCTGGTGGTTAAGGCACTGGATTCCCACATGGCTAACCACAGTTCGAGTCCTGGACCCAGTGGCTTGAAAACCACACCAGGCACGTGTATATGAATGGCCAAAACTCCAAGAGGAGAATGGAGAGGGGACTGTGGCATGGCCAGTCCCACAGGGGATGATTTCTTACTCTCCCTCTCTCTATCTCTCTCTGGTGAGCACACACGGCCTGTAGAGGGTAGGGGAACTACCTATTGAGCAGAAACACACATCACTCTTCTGCAGTGGAGTTCCGACATGTTGATAGCTAGTAGTTACCAGGTGGTGTTTTACCCTAGAACACCAGTTCTCAAAGAATGGCCTGAACCAGTACATCAGTGTCACCCAGAGCCTGTTAGGCAGAGTCTCAGCCTCACCCTGGCATGACAGAACCAGAGACCCTGGGGGTGGAGCCCGCGCTCTGGGTTTGAGCAAGCTGCCAAGCAACACTTGGTCTCCCTAGAGCTCCAGGACCTCAGCTCTGAAGCATGGCAGCACCAGCCCTCAGCGGAGCCAGGATGTGGGCAGATCTGTGCCCTAAAACTGGGTTATTTTGAAAGTTAAATATTTTCATAAAAAGCAATGAGTTAAGTGCAACATTTTAATTCCACCCTTCATTACTGCATGTTTGAGAACTTGTGCCCTCCCAACCATCTTACCTGATGGAAGAATAGGGGACAGGCACGATTCACAGATATTCTCCTCTGTAAGGAAACACACACTGGCATTACACACTGCTTCTCCCTGCTCTGCCTCCTCCGAAGGAGGGCACGGGGCCACACGACCGTCCGCTTTTACCCACCATCGACCAGGATGCCTTTCATTTGAGTCCGGTGCATTTTCTTCAGTAACGACAGAGAGTCAGCCACTAGAATCTTCTTGCAGCCTTCACGAAGCAGAATCTATTGCAGAAATTTTAAAAGAAAAGCAATCTTAGATTCGAATATGAAGAAGGGAGTGTCTTATTCAGAAGTCAGACACTGATACACTCAAAATACTCCAGATAGGCACTTACTATTCCCTGTACCCTCTTCACTCCAGAGCACAGCCAGACTGACCTTTCTGGCCACAATTTAGTCATTACTTTCTGCCTTTTTTTCCCTTATGACTTGTAAAATCAAATAGAAATTTCAAAGTCTAGTGAAGAAGATTCTGTATTAATTAGCCCTATGTGATGGCATTTGTGGTGCCCACTTGACCGGATTAAGGCCTATGGAGCAGGTACAGCATCGCTCCTGGGGATGTCTGAGAGGGTGCTTCAGGGCAACGGCGTACGTCTGAGACCTGAGTGGGAAGACCTGTCCTGATGTGGGGGTCACCAGCTAACTGGGCAGCAGCCTCGGGAGGGCAGGAAGCAGAGCAAAGATGAATTCATTCCCTCTCTCCGGAAGCCAGGACCCCTTCTTCTCCTGCCCTGGGACTCCTTCAGAACTCAGGCTTTCTGGCTGAGTGACCCCTCAGTATCCCTGCCTCTCAGGTCTGTGGACTTGGGTCAAGCTCTCTACCGGCAGCCCCGGTCTTCCGCTCGCAGGAAGTCGTGGTGGGACTCCTCAGCTTCCATAATGGTGAGAGCCAGTTCCCGAGAAGTACCCTTAAGCGTCTCCATCTCACCGCGTCTCCAGGAAGCCTGGTCGACAGATCCTGCTGTCGTCTTACAGGATTCCTCCTGCAGAGTCTCTGGCACTTAATCTGCTCATTCCCACCTTCGGGTCTTTGACTAGCATGGAAAACCTGCTATTCTGAAACCGCCCATTTCTCTGACAAACCCAGCTATTTGCTGCACAAATACACACTGGGTCCTACCAAACAGGAGGTGCTGGGCAGAGCCAACAAACTGGACAGACCGATCTCGGCCCTGAATCCCCTCCAAGCTGCGACCTGCTTTCGCTTCCCTCTAAATCCAGTCCCAATCCCGCAGCACGATGCTGCATGTGCCGGATGTGTGCAGTACTTGGCGATCACAGGCCCCTTACACGTGATGGCCCGAGGGAAGGACCACCGAAAAAGGAGCACAGGTATACATATGGGTGTGGGTGTGGATACGTGTATCTGTATTTGGAGAGGTTTTTGCTATAGGGTGTGTGCACTCACCCTAGGGACAGAGACAGAGATAGAAAGCGAGAAATCACTCCCTATGAGGGGATGGCTACACCACAATCCCATCTCCTCCATTCTCATCTCAGGATCTTGGGTAAGCATGTACACACGCACACGTGCCCAGCACAAGTTCAAGCGGCTAGGTCTGGAACTCAAACCACGGTTGACCACATGGGAGTCCAGTGACGTAACCATTACACCATCTGCTGGTCCCCAGACATTAATATTTTGTCACAAGATTCAGTCTCTCGTTTTTCAACCCCAAATTATACTTTTTGTGTCTTTATGCACTCTTCTTGTGCCTCTTTCGTTTTCTTAAATCATTTTCTCTTCTCCCAGGGAGAATGACAAGCGAGTCCTAAAACATCCATGGGCCCAGAAGACAGGCCTGCACAGAGGAGGACGATGTCACTTCCAGTTGGCAGCAACGCTGTGTTTCAAGCCAGGGGCATGACCCCGTCCAAGAGGCCTGCCTGCTTCAAGGCGGAGCCTGGCGGGGCTGGGCGGCCTTTCACCTTTCACACCTGCTCTGCGGGCCACGGTGCTGGGTCTCAGCAGGGGGGGAGAGGCCGTGCAAGGCATGTGTAAGCCAGGCGTCACCCTTTACCAGAACTCACTGCTGCCTTTAAAAGGGAGACTCCTGGGGCCTGGAGGGCCAAGAAGCCGTGGGACTGTGTTTACAGCTTTTTCTCCAGGCCCCATGCGTCTCAGCAAACGTGGAAATGTGCAGTCAGATGTCACTGACGCGGACCAGGTCATGCCGAAATCGCAGCCCCGCGGACCGGCTCTATGGCTGAGAAGCACATGTGTGGACGTGGCTGTGGGCAGGGCGGGCACTGTCGTCTCTCGGTGCGGAAGGTTCTCTCCACCCCGAGGCTGCCTCATCTGTCAGCCAGCTGGGCGCCCCGCCTTCATGGGTTTGGAAGGCGCGGGAACAGCCAGCCACGCTCCCCCATCCTGCCCGTCTGCAGCAGCACGCTGTCCTCCCCAAGCCCCGAACAGCGCTGGCTTTGGGCCACGCAGCCAGAGCCCTTTCCTCCTAATCACATGAAGGCGAATTCTCTGGGAGACACAACTCACGCCTCGATTAAAGGGCTATGAGAGTACTTCGCAAAGTCTGTGGAATAATGAAATCAAAGTACAGCTTATTTGGGTGCAAAATATTTTAAAATCCATATTGTTTTTTCACAATATACATTTTCCATGAACTTATAAAGAACAAGAGGGTACGTACTTATGAGAGAGAGAAAGAAAGGGAGAGACAGAGAGGGAGAAAGCACCCACAACGGAGCACGGGTATGTCACAGTCCTCTCTCCTCCACATGCACACACATGACCGGCATGTTTTCAAGCCACTGGGTTGAGATCCCACACCTGCACCGGCAGTGGGATGCAGCCTCCTTGACCACTCGCCATGAGCTCAGCCCTCGATGGACTTCCTGAAGACCCCTCACACAGCTGCCATGGCTGCTGCTGCTCGGCAAGAAATGACAGTTTTGGAAATCCAACGTTGACTGCCTATAGAGTGGTAGTCTTTAATGATCTACTAGAAATGGAATTGGGGGGGATCCATTTTTAAAAAATATTAAAATTTTAACAGATATCATTAAAGCATACAGGAAGAAAAGAAAACTAAATACAGTAAGCTACACAAGAAATATCAATGTCAGTAAACTTTAAAAAAACTTCAAAGCAAACATGAAAAGCTGCTCACCCCAGTAACAAAATAGAAAACTGAAGAAAACGAGTATCAAGCACACCACTCCTCCACCCTTGGTCTAGCATTTCAGAAGGAACCGGCTCTGCCCCTCAGTGGGTGGCCGAGGCCCACAGCATGAACGACGCAGGAAGAGGGTGGGATGACATCTGGACAGAGGCCTGTGTCCACAATCCAGGAAAGAAAACTGCACAGACTGCAAACTGGAGCAGCAGCAACTGCCGGCTGAGCAGAAACCGTCCTCTTGGGGGTTACACCGTTCTAAGTAGGTACAATCCGTCTGCCCAGAGCATTTTCTAGGAAAAACTTTAGCATTCAGAGGCAAACTGCCAAGAGCAAGGACCTGCCCAAAACCTGCTTGTCTCAACAAACCCAAGGCTCCGAATCAGAAAAACAACAGACACTTTAAGTTTTATTTATATGATGCCAAGCAGGTATATGAAAAAAAGACACTCATCTGTAGAAAACTGTCCTCGAGTCTACGCCTGTAAGGATGGGAGGCAGTCACGGTGGGCGAGTGAGGACCGCATGAGGCTACACGGTGGTTTCACGTGCAGATACCGTTTCCAGCATCAGACACCATGCGACAAGCCATCGTGCTGACAGGGACTCCTTGCAGCAATTCGTCGGTGACTCAGACACACGTGCTGTGGTCGACACTGACTCTACCCCAAGTTCCTATTTGCTATTTCCCACGAACGCCTTATCAGACGCAGCGGCAGTCGGTGGAAGGGGGCGCCTTCACTCCTTTCCGACCTTGCACCCTCGTGTCTGACTGCGTCCACGCAGGCCTCTCGTCCCGTGTGCCCGGCTATGGGCTATCCCACCTTCCAGCTGCCCCCGCCTAGCTGGCGGGTCTGGCATTCACGCACTCGGGGACACATACGCTCTCACTCTCCGTGTTTCCAATGACCGGACGGCATCCCGTCATGGCGGCTCTCACTCTGAGTACCATTTTCTAGTACGTGTGTTTGTTTTTATTTTTCAAATATAAAACAATTTTAAAAAAATTATAACCAGATTCCCACCATCACAATTTAACAAGTCTGTTCGTTTGCCACATGCTTCAGCTCTTATCCCCAAAGGTAAAGTATTACAGATGCAACCGACACCGTCTGCACCCCACGGCTTCTCCTTCCCTGCACACAGCTCCAGCTCTGTGTACTGTGTCCAGCTAAAGCGTGCAGCCGGTTGGGCGCATGGAACCCAGCGCTGGTCAATGAGATTGGTGTGGAGCCTGCGAGGTCACCTCTGCTAAAGAGAGCCGCAAAGCCTCATTCGGAGAGACACCGCTGTCCATTTTCCTGCCTGGCACGCGGGTGTGGGGCTTAGGGCGTGCATCTTGTGACCGACAGGCAGCATATGGAGGGAGGTACGCAGAGTACCGCAGACAGGCAGGGGCCACATACGTCCCGGTGGCCGACGGATCGCATTTATGAAGGGGGTCCTGTAAGATTCTCATAAGCTGAAACATCTACGATCGAGCGATGTCGTAACCAACGTGACACTGAAATATGACGGATTACTCACGCCGTGGCGATGCTGGTGTAGAAAGACCTGCTGTACTGCGAATCGTCTAAAAGCACGCACACGGGACACGGCCCTTGGCGACGACCAACGACTACACTGCTGGCCTGTGCATTTACTATTCTATACCTTTAACATTAATGTGGCGTGTACCAACTTTACTACATAAACAGCTTACTGTAACACGGCAGGCCGAGTCCCGGCAGCAGCCCCACACACCTCTGTGCATGTCTCCTGACCACATCCTTGTCTCCTGTGCTTGACTCGACTTCACGTGGTTTATGTTCGCCATGGCCCTTCCATCAGGACAAGGTGTGGAAGTGGAAGACAGTGATCCTGAGGGTCCTGAACCTATATAGGCCTTCGCTACTGTATGTGTTCCTGTCTTAGTTCTTAACCAAAAAAGTTGAAAGTAAAAAAAAAAAATAATTAATTTAAAAATACAAAAAAGCTTCTAAAATGCAAGACATAAAGAAAAATATTTTGGTACAGCTGTACCATGTGTTTGTGTTTTAACTGTTATTACCAAAGATTGAGAAAGTTACAGTAAGTGGGACCAGCAAATGACGGAATGGACTTCCAAGTCGCCGGGCGTGTGTGCATGCCCAAGATCCCAAGAGGAAAACAGAGAAGGGATTATGGTGTGGCCATCTCCTCTGGGGGTGATTTCTCACTTTCTTTTTGGTGAACACAAGTACCCTATAGCAAAAATCTCTCTTAAAAAAAAAGTTATAGTGGACCAGCAGTTAGTGTAATGGCTATGTCAGTGGACTCCCATGTAGTCGACTGCAGTTCGAGGCCTAGACCTGGCGGCTTAAACTCACACCATGTGCATGTGCATGTGCATGCGTGCTCAAGATCCCGAGAGGAGAATGGAGGAGAAGGGATTATGGTGTGGCCATCCCCCCTGGGGGGTGATTTCTCACTTTCTGTCTGTTTTTCCGGTGAGCCCATGTGCCCTATAGCAAAAAGTTTTCAAAAAAATAAATAAATAAAATAAAAAGTTACAGTAAGCTAGGAATAATTCATTGTGGAAAAGAAAAACTTTTTGTACATTTGGTGTAGCCCAAGTCTACAGCGAGCATAAAGTTGACAGCCATGTGCAATGTCCCAGCCTTTGCAGTCTTTCACTCCTCCCTCACTGACCCACCCAGAGCGATGCCCAGTCCTGCAGGTGCCATTTGTGGTAAGAGCCCTACACAGGCGCACTTTCAATATCTTTTATGCTCTATTTCTGCTGTACTTTTCCTACATTTAGATACATTTAGGTCCACAAATACTTACCATTTTGTTACAACTGCCTATAGTATAGTGCAAGGGGCTTTCAAAAAGTTCATGAAAAATAAATATTATGAAAACTTGATGCAGGCTTTTCACAAATTTTTTGCACTAAAATAAACTTGTATTTGCTTGTTTATTTATTTATTTATTATGTTTTTACTATAGTGTGCATGAGCCCACCAGAGAGAGAGAGACAGAGACGGGCAGAGAGGGTCAGGGAGAAATCATCCCCTGGGGTGATGGCCACACTGTAATCCCTTCTTCTCCATTCTCCTGGGGTTTGGGGCATGCATGAAAATATGCCTGGTCTCCAGGTCCAGGACTCGAACCACAGTTGGCCATGTGGGAGTCTAGTGCCTTAACCACCACTCCATCTGCTGCCCCCCAAAGTAAACTCGCATTCTAATTTCATCTTTGCATGAGCGTTTTGAGGTGCCCTCATAGTCTGGACAGTAGCATGCTGCACAGGTCTGCAGCATGGGGACAGCAGGTCATGTACCAGGTGGCCTCGGCATGTGGTCGACTGTACCGTCCAGTCTGTGAGTGCACCCTGAGGTGTGCACAACGACAAGGTCGCCTAGTGACGCGTGTCTCAGAATGTGCCCGTCAGCCAGCAGCAGGACTGTACACCACCATTTCGCATACAGGACTTGAGCATGGTGGGTTTAGTATACGTGGGACTTCTGGAGCCAGTCTTCCATGGATGCCGGGGACAGCTGTACATGTTGCGATGTTTTCAGAGTGTTTGCAGACTGTGAGGAACTTGTAAGTGAGTAGTTTTAAGGATCATGTCTTCTCCTCTCCAAAAATAGTTCCGGTTTTTCAAAATATGCCTAATGGCCTTTCAAAGATCAAGACTTTTTTTTACCCAGCAAAATCTTGGCTGTTTCCTTTGTTTCAGCCTGGCTCCCTAGTCTGTATTAGGTGGCTTCTGACGTCACTCTCAGAAATCTGTGCAATGTCTCTGCATGGTGATTAAGACAGCACTGTTACTGATCTCTGCCCTGTGACCTCTGTCTTCTTAAAATTCCACCAGGGATAAACCACTATCTTTTCTCTCCTGAACTTCATAGGACATTGGTTTTCATCTCAAAAAATATTTGGAGGCATTGCTTAAAAAAAGTACAATGTCATCTTTCAGATTCATTTTCCTTGTGAAACTTTTCAGTATTTTTCCACGCTAATCCCCAGCTATGGGCCAATTTCTTCCCATATTCCTCTCAATCACTCTAGTTTTCTAATATTACCTTGCTTCCCTTAATAGACCTAATTTTTTCCACATTCTGTTCTCTCTCTCTCTCTCTTTTATGTGTCTGCCATAGGGCATATGTACTTGCCAGAGAGAGGGAAAGTGAAAAATCTCCCCACCCCCCACCAGAGGAATGGCCATGCCACATTCCCTTCTCCTCCATTCTCCTCTAGGGATTTTGGGCATGCACACACACACACACGTGCCCAGCATGATCTTCAAGCCACTGAGTCCAGGACTCGAACTATGGTCTATCATGTGGGTTAGTGCCTTTACCACACCACCTGCTGTCCCAAACATTCTATTTTCTTAACATGCTCTTTTTGCGTGCACACACACACACACACGTGCCCAGCATGATCTTCAAGCCACTGAGTCCAGGACTCGAACTATGGTCTGTCATGTGGGTTAGTGCCTTTACCACACCACCTGCTGTCCCAAACATTCTATTTTCTTAACATGCTCTTTATCCTTTCTTCATTATTTTCAAAACAACCAACTGTAGCTTCAAACACCCACTTGTTACATATATACTTCGTGCTACTATAAAGTTAAAGAAGGACTTTAAAAAAAAATTTTTTTTGGAGAGGTTTTGCTATAAGGCATGTGCGCTCAACATTTCCCCAACTTCCTCTACTCCCCTCTTTCCAATGAACACTGTGTTAATGAATGATCTCACAAACCACAGTGCCCAAAGAACTTTTTAATTTTTTAAAATTTTTGCCGGAGGGTGCATGTGCTCACCAGAGAGACAGAGAAAGTGAAAATGCAACCCCAATACACACACACACAGATGGCCTTGCCACAATCCTTCCTCCTCCATTCTCCGTTCAGGATTTGGGGTACGTGAGCACACAGGCCTGGAGTATTTTTCAGAACTCTGGGACTTACACTGCATGTTTAGTTGTGTGGATCCAGGCGCCTTAAACACCACGCCGCCAGCTGGCTTTTAAAATCCTGCCTGCCTACTGTAAATCCCCCCTTAGAGGTCGCCAGGGCGCAGCAGCAAGGGAAGAGGTGGAGAGCCCCCCACCACACTTTCCTTAAAGCTGACCACAGTTCTGTTCACTGAATGGTTCTGCACAGCCATTCAGGTCTTGGTCCCACCCAGCCCCAGATGATGCAGATTCCTGGAAATTCACGCCAAAGGGCAGAAGGACAGCCCCTCAGCCACCCGGAGGTGGGACTGCTCAGACACACCTCAATGACTTCTCAGCGAGCTTGGATTTGAAACTTCAAGCACATCCTGGCACCCCCAGGGGTGGAAGAGTCAGCAAAGCACAGGTCATTTGCACCCAGAGGTATATGAGGCCGCACTGAAATGCCTTCCCTCGATTCTGCACCTCAGAATAGTCCTTCCCTGGCTCCACCGCCCTCCCACGACCCCAGGGCACGGCACAGAACAGCAGCTCCCTAAGTCACCTCTCTCCACCCACGAATCTGTCTGCACGTTCTTATTTCTGCCCTGCCTTTCTCCTGCCAGTAACGTCTCTTCTGGGTCACTTGCAAACCTCTAAATCCCACTGGAAATAAGAGCCTCTATTTCTCTTTTTAAAATTTTTTTGTTTATCATTATTTTTTATTTACTTTATTTATTCATTCATTTTAATTTGATCAGAGAGGGACAGAGTGAGAGTGAGAGAGAGAGAGAGAGAAAGTAAGCTGCCAGGTCTGGGACTCGAACAGCAGTCGGCCATGTGGGAGTCCAGCACCTTCAACCACCACGCCACCTGCCGGCTCCAAAAACCTGTATTTCTTTAAGTCTTTGGCAGAAAAGTCCGCTACCTCTCTGGCTTACCTGGGTACCAATCTCTCACCGAGGAACCCAATTTCCCACAAAGCTCCCTGAGGGAAGGGTCCCTAACATCTCACACTCTCACCTGCAGGAAAAACCCAGCTTGCTCAGGCCGACCAAGGATCTGAACCCAGCCAGGCCTGCCTTTGGCTCCAGCCCGGCAAAATGACACTCCACCTGTTGGGCCATTTGCGGCTTGGCCCAATTGAAAACTGACTCAGAGGGACAAGCTGTTCAACTGACCACAAAGAAAGATACTCTAAATTTTTATGCAAATGTGTTTTAAACAGTTTCAAGTTCTACAGAAACTACCAGTATCCTGAAAAACAGTGATTTCTAGAGTTCTTTAAAGGAAAGGATTTGTCTGCTTTGTAATTAGCATATTGTTATTTATATAAAAATAATGGATTCCATTATTCTTAACACAAATTCTGAATTCCAGGGATAATAAAGTTGTACTATTCTGGAAAAGAGACGAAAGGGTAAATAAAATCCTGTTTACTTAAACATGTTTCAGGCAGTGGGTTGCTGAGTGACTTCTAGAAATATTATCAAATTTTTGAAAAATATTTTTCTTATTCCCACAAATGGACGTATTTATTCTCCCTAAAACTGCCTGGGTAGTGGCCTGACGTAACAGCACCGTCAGGACTCTCACGCCCTCTGGAGGCCACACTGCACATGTACACAACCTACGCTGCCTTCTCAGCGAGAAGTGAAACTCTGGGATGGCTCAAGAATCACGCGGGTTATGCTTCTCGCTTCTCCCTTCGAACCATTTCCAAAAACCTGGGCTTTAACAAAATGTAACCTCTGAGTTCAACGTTTTAGACTGGTATCTAACACACACTAGAAAGCACTGACGAGTAGGGGTTACTCACTCAGCACACTCGCTGGCCACGGAGGAGAACTTACTTGCAGGTTGTAGTCCTGTAAAATTTTAACCAAGGAATCTCTCAAATTGGGGATCTCCATTCCTTCCTTAATCCGGTGAATCAGGAGAATTGGGTCAACATGAGTGCCAATGTTATTTAAAAAGCCAGTAATAAATGCTACACAATAACACAGAACAATCAAGAGGTTAGCAATGTTATAAGGCATTTTATTTGCACATAATACAATTTTATACCAGGAATAACTAAAAAAAATTGTTTTCTTTAAAGTAAGTTTAAAACCATTTGAATTTCTGAACTCTCAAGAACTAATCTTCCTCTAATCTTCTAAATTCACAAGAACTAAATTCCCTGAAGGTAGAAACTAAACAAGAAGTGTTTAAAAACAGTTGAACAAATCCCAGACCTAGTGGCTTAAAGCTTACGCTGGGCATATGTACTTGGTGGGCCCAAAATCCCAAGAAGAGGATGGAGAAGAAAAGATTGTGGTGTTGTCATCACCCCCTAGGGGGTGATTTCTCACTTTCTGTCTCTCTGTCCCTCTCTCCAGTGAGCACACATACCCTATAGAAAAAAAACCTTTCTTAAAAAAAACGGGGGGGGGGGGGTGGGGGTTTCTTAAAAAAAATGGGGGGGGGGGTTTGGGACCAGCAGGTGGCATAGTGCTTAAAATGCTGGACTCCCACCTGGTTGACCATGGTTCAAGTCCCTGACCTGGAGTTTAGTTTCTCACTTTCCCTCTCTTTCTCTCTGGTGAGTGCGTGTGCCCTCTAGCAACATTAAAGAAAAATTATAATAATAAATAAAAATTAAATAAATAATTCTTTAAAAAAATACAAATATAGTTTGCATTTCAAAATACAGTTTGCAATTACAAAGGCTCAAGCTGTTTCACACTTTCTCTGGATTTTGAGAAGTAGGCATGTTCTGTGGTTCCATCTTACACACAAGGGAACTGGTGCATTTAATTCATGCAGGCTCATTTGGCTAGTAAGTGAGGAGCCTGAATTAAAAATGAGGTCTGGCCTGGGCCAGACCTTAATTCATAATATATTCTCTTCTAACCACTCTGTCTCTTAGCATCCTTAAACTGTTACTCATCATGCTAAACTAGATTCTTTGTGTTCTCAAGGGTATAAAGCCATTAAAGTCATCTTTGACTTAAGGTAGTTACATGAATATAAAGCCTTCCTACAAAAAAAAAAAGGAGAGGTGGTGAATTTTAAACCTCTATAGTTAGTTTCTGCATTATTTCTATTTCTTCAAAAGGGGGCATAGGTTGCCATTACATGACGGCTTCTGTTGTTTCTTTTAAAAAATGGGAGACCTCGTAGCTGGCAGGTGGCATAGTGATTAATGGTGCTAGACTCCCTCATGGCCAACTGCGGTTCAAGTCCCGGACCTGGTAGCTTGCTTTCTCACTTTCTCTCTCTCTCTCTGTCCCTCTCTGGTCAAATGAAAATAAACAAGTAAATAAAGTTAAATAAAATATTTTTAAAAAATGGGAGACCGCGAGGTCAATGGTCAAGCTGAAGGCCAAGACATATGAACTCCTTGTGCTGCTGCAGTGACAAAACAGGGCGGGAAGGAGAGACTAAATACTTCAACACACACAGTCCCCAGGTAGGGCCAACTCCAAATAAGTTTTATATCTTCGTAAAACAAAACTGGTGTGGGAATATGCTTTCAAAATAAACGCTTCCTGTGAACAAAGTGAAACAAAACCAAGCCAACCCAATTTATTCGACTCGGTTGCAGGGGGTGAAACTCTGTCCTGTGGGGACCCAGCTAATAAGCTGTGTCACCACTTGTGCTTTATCACATTCGGGTAACGCCAAGATGACACGCCTGGCTGTTCTGAACAAGAGACGTGTCAGAAATTGCTAAAACACACCTGGCCTACTTTACTGTAGATAATTCATGTATTTAAAGTTTACTTGAGCAAGAAGAGAGAGAGAGAGAGATGGCCCCCTCAGAGAGTTTGACACTCTAACCTGCCCTCGGCTCCCAGCCCGACCACGGGCCTGCGTGGCTGAGCACTCGGGGAGGTCTGAGGAGTGAACTGGGGACGCCCCCGTGGGCCTGCCTCCCAGAGTGCTGTGCTTTACCACTGTGCCACTGGTCACATGCCACCACATTTTTCATCGAATGTATCTCGAGATAATTCTGAATCTAGACATAGCTGCTACACTGAGATGGAAAAGTTGCAATCGGAGCTGGCTTTTGCTTACGTGGTTTGTCAATGGAGTACAGAATCAGATCTTCCCAGAGTTCTCCGTCATCTTGCTCCTTGGCGAATTCGATCGCTTTATCAACATCGTGTAACTCCTCCATGATCATCTTCAGGGCACTCCGACTATTACCCATTCGGCCTAGGAGGGGTGAGGGAGGGAGCCTGACTGACTTGAAGTGGAAACAGCCTCCTCCCTGTTTCCGCAGGCTGGAAGCTAAGACAGGAGCGTGTGTCTACACAGCAAAGTCCCTCCTGCTTACTGGGCGTTGGCTCTCTGCTGAGGACTCCGTTAGGCACTGCCCGTGAACTACATAATTTAAATGGCACTCTGATCCTATGAGGTATGTTTCTGTTCCACAGAAGAAACAGAAATGTCTGAATTTGAGCCCAGGTCTGTCAGATTCTCACTCCCTTCTGACAGACGTTTCTCAGATTTTCAAACTTTCGCACTCGATACAGTGACGGTGCTTGAAGGCCTTGCCTCTGCAGGTGGTTCTGTCTAACGCTCCTCTGAAGACATCTGTGCCAACTGCAGATTTGGTTATCAGAGGCCTCCGCTTTTCCCATCTCTCCCAAATCTGGGGAAAAGCCTTCCGATAGCCTCGAGAGACGGGCGCATTTACCAAGCAGGTGCCGTGGCTCACTACGCTCACACACTCCGTCCTTTGGCCACTGGCATTTTCATGGTTTGAACGATTTCCTTGAGATTTAGTGCAGTACATGTAGAAAGCTTTAACCCCGGGAGCACAGCACTGCCTGGCTGCGGGCCGCGCCCTTTGCCCTGTTCCCTGGCCTAGGAAACCAGCGAAGGAGTCTTATTCCTCCTCACTGTGGTCAGCCATTACCAACGGAGGGCAGCTAGCTTGTCAACGAGACGATACTCCATTTAATTTTCCTTCCATAGCATTTTGTTTTTCTGAAAAAATATTATTTCCAGAGGGTTGTCTTTAAAAAATAGTTAATCTTTTAATGTGCATAGGATTCTTATGAATATAAGACTACGTCTCTCCTTTTTAGTCTTTAACTGCTTCTAAGATATGACATTATGACAAAATTTATCCCAACGAGATACTTCTCGAGGAGGACACTGGAGGAAGTGGCTGCCGGCCACCTGAGGCTGCGGTTACCATCTGGTAACATGCGGCCCGAAGCACTCCTCCTAGGAAGGCAGTCCTCTAACTGCTCAGACACGGGTTCGCTGCTGAGTGCCCCTGAATCTGCATAGGCATAAATGGGAACGGAAGATCTGGGTTCTTTTCAACAAAGGCCAAAGGAGCCAAGGAGGGTGGGGGCTCTTAGGAGGGACAGGAGTGAGGCAGAGAAGCCCAGCTGGGGCAGACGAGGCCGGGGCAGAGGAGAGACGTGGCACGTGGATGCCAGAGGACACCAACAGAGCCCACAGACACCTTCCTTGCGGTCCCGTGAGCCCCAGTGCTCCCACGCCCGCAGTGCCCTGCGAGGAACAGGAAGACCGGCAGCTCTGTGTCTTGGTAGGCCTGGCACAAAACCTACAGTACCGTGTGTGGGTAGGAGCCAGAGGACCAGGGACGGCTGACAGCTGGGTTACATTTAAAATTTATTTTAATTTCAATGTTTTAATTTAAAAGTTCTCTTTTCTCTCCAAAATCTAATCCTTTGTCACCCAATATCCAATTCCATCCCTTCCCATTATTGAATGATTTTTGAAGATGAAGATTACTTATTTTCTACCAATCTGAGGGTGATAACGGCTGGGAGGAAATTTTAATATAAATGAACTTGTCAACCCGTCCACACTTCATTTTAATGGAAGTGGTGAGGTGGTAACTCGGACGGTTTTGTTTATCCCACATTATCAACGTTACTTCAACAGCATTTGCTCACTCCCTCTTCCTTTTCTATTGTGCTGTAATGTCTGAATGTTTTTATGTATTTAATTCTTATACAAAATAGGCTTAAAGTTTTGTGTTACTTTGGTCTAACATCTATGTCCACTCAAACACACATGAAATCATGTCACCGTTTTCTTAGTTTATGGAGACAAAAACGAATAAAAGCTACTTACTCAGAAGATAAACTGTCTCTTCTACAAAGTTTCTCTGTTGACAGATCTCGAGAGCCTTCAATTAAAACAGACAGGGTAAAAATGAAGCTTACAAGTGTGAAAGGATTTTGCCAGTCCTTTAATAAAAAAGCCAACAAGGAACACTGACTCTCCTCAGGTCTCGCAGGAGCTGCGTGCATTCCCATCTCAGGAGGACACTGGGGCCTACACAATCCACTGGTAACGTCTGTGGGGCAGCTCAGAACATGTGCTGAACAACCACAGAAAACAAGATGCTGACAGAGGACCCACCCATCCCGCTAAGGTTTTTCTCTACGGTTCTCCAGGTTTCTTCACCGCACGGCTTCCCCCCACATCCACAGTCGTGCTTAAACTCCTTCCTTCCACGGGAATATAAGCCCGGGGAAGACTGCTGCTCACTGTGCAGCCTCCTGGCATTAAATACACCACGTACTTGGTAAACATCTGCTGCGTAAGTGAGTACTTGAACTTCCTGGCGATATTTCTATTGTCAACCAACAAGATTTAAAAGTAAACTCTGCTCAAGGATCTGTTAAAGTGAGAGGGAAAAATACATCTGACAATTAGGAAGGATCAAAAAAGAGGAGGCGATGGAGTAAAGAAATGAAGAGCTACACAGATGTCAGCATTTCTGCAGGCAGAGGAAAGAACAGTGTATGCTGGTAAACAACCAGTTTCCAGTGACTTGTACATGTTTGCTACACACCTGCTGGGTGCTCGAGGCCAGGCTGAGCAGAGACACAAGGTGACAGCAGTAACAACATCAGTGTGCCGACACAGGAGGAAGAGGCTCAGCAGCAGTGGCAGCCATGGGTCCACCATGGAAGGTGAGGTCCGGGGAGGACGACAGATACGACAACGCAATGTACCAGGGCTGGGGGAACACGGAAAGAGAGCCACGTGCCTCGAGTAGGGCACTAAACTCATGTGGCCCTCGTGCGAAAAGCTTCCCAGAAGAGATGGCATCTGAACTGGGAGCAATTCGGCGAGAAGACCTCCGCTTGTCCCCTTCTCTGTTGCCTTCTCACTGTGTTCCAGTCCGGTCTCCAACTGCAGCTCGCCCTCCCTGCTCACCTCTCCTCTCTGTCCCCCTGCCTGAAATGTTTCCCTCACTCTCCAGCCCTGGCAAGGACATCACACAAATGTTCCCATGGGCCCTAATTGGCCTAGACCCCAGACACTGACTCCAGGAACCCTCTGCTCACAGCCTCACAGCACTCCATCACTGGGCCAAGGAACCCTGCACCTAATTATTTAACCTCCCGCGTGGGGAGCTTGATGCTGCACGCGATGCCTGGCCCCTAGTATGGGAGCAGTAAATAGTCCTTAAATAAAGGAGCAGGCAGAAAAGGCTTCAGGGAGAAAATAACTGGGTTGCATATTTAGAGTTGTCATTGAAACACAGCCAACCAAGGTTGTTCTAAAAACAAGAACCAAGGACATAAAAAGAGCAGTTCACGTTAATGAGCTCTTTTGATGCAATGATCTGTCCTGGGAAAGAACGGGAGCTAGCGTTAAGACTTCCATTTTTTTACTTCGAATTTTTCTGCGGGCTGTCTATTTTACATCAGTGCCTTTGGCTGGAGATGACCAAAAAAAGCTGACCACAGAGATCAATGTAGCCGAAAAGGAGTAAAGAGACATAAGAAAGAAAAAGAAAAAGCATCGCCTTACTTTAAAATCACAGTGAAACTAGGACAGTGCTTTGAAGTACTTACACCATCTAAATAAGGGTGTGAGGCTGAGGGAACATCACAGTGAGGAAGAAGCCATTCACTCACTCACGAGATCCCCTGTAAAATTAGGTGACAGGGCTAGTTGTTCTCTAAGGTCTTCTTCCCGTTTCTTTCAGAGCAACGTCACTGTCCAGAATTAAAGGAAAACAACCCCCCACACCCAACCTCCCCAGCAGTAGGGGAGCCATGTGACTAACGTCCACCATGGAGCTGAAGAACATTCGGAGAAGAGCAGCTTCTGGAACATTCCTCTGAAGCACGGTGACTGAACCCGCCCTTCCTTATTGGTAGGCCTCTCACCCAATCTGTTTCTGGGAATGTGGATGGCACCACCGTATGTCACCAGGTCAAGGTCACGGAGAGTGGAGGAAAAATGGGGAAGAGCTCTGATCTGACCCTGGGGCATGCCACCCCAGCAGGGCCACTCCGAGGAGGCTTCCATGAGACAGTGGACTAAATGGCTACTCTGCTTAAGCCAAGATGATTCTGGAGATTTTATCACTCTCAGCTGAACCTAATCCTAGCTAACACCTAGAAAATCCCAACCGTTCCCATTAAGAGCCTGGTTTCCTACGTGTCCCTACACTGCCGCACCTGTCAATCACCATGACACACCAGGGACCTCTGCTACCAACTCTTCAGCAGCCACACCACCACAGAGACGGGGCATGCCTGTGACAAGGCAGCAGCATGGGAAAGGGCCGACAACCCGAAGTCAGGGGACCTGGCTATTCTAGCCAAAAGTTAGAGAAGCCAACCGAGCGCCCAGAATTCTGCTGGTGCCACAGATACAGACGGACGGGTGGTTAGTCTAGTGGGACCACGCCACGTTACAGGAAGACGGGGCACTGTAATAGGAGCGGCCGAGTAAGAGGCCGAACGATGGCTGCTACAGAACTCAGCAGAGTTTATTACTAGCGGGATCCACGAGTCAGTTCAGTACGTGGAAATACACTTAAACGTTAAAGTACCACTCGAAAGTTTCAAACAGAACTGTCACCTCCCCCCTCCTGTGGGCATTTCAGAATGCTTGAGAAGATGCTTGTCTCAAACCACAAAGACAGTTTGAAGTTTGAAGTTTCACCTGAGTTGTCCAAGGCAGTAATCACAAATTTAAATCAATTACAACAAAATCAAATTAAAATTCAGTTCCTTGGTCTCATTAGCCACAGTCAAATATTCAATAGTGGGGTCAGCAGGTGGCATGGTAGCTAGGGCACTAGACTCCCACATGGACAACCACAGTTTGAGTCCTGGTGGCTTGCTTTCTCACTTCCCCCCTTTCTCTCTCTGGTCAAATTTAAAAACGAATTGGGACCAGCAGTTAGCATAATGGCTAAGTTGCTGGATTCCCATGTAGTTGACTGTGGTTTGAGTCCTGGACCCAGTGGCTTAAAACTCACGCCAGGCACGTGTGCATGCATGCCCAAGATCCCAAGAGGAGAATGGAGGAGAAGGGATTGCGGCGTGGCCGTCCCCCCTGGGGGGGAGTGATTTCTCACTTTCTGTCTGTCTGGTGAGCGCATGTGCTCTTTAACAAAAACCTCTCCAAAAAACAAACAAAACAAAACAAAAATTAAAAACTAATAGTAATAAATAAAATTAAACAAATAATTCCTGAAAAATAAAAACAAATACTCAATAGTGACAAGTGGCTTGCATGCTGAAGAACCTAATTCCAGACCATCACACAGGACAGCGATGCGGTGTGTCCTCGTACAAGCTAGCAGCAATGACACTCAAGTGGAAGCAGTGTTTGCAGGCAGGTTCGAAGTTAGGAATGGCCGGCATGCAAGCAGATCCGTTCAAAGTTCCTCTCAGGCTCTTAGATTTAAATGCCACAGATTTTTTTTTTAAATGTTTTATGACTAGTTTCTAACAGTATCAATGATCCTTCTCTCACTAATGAGAAAGCAGAGAACCCAGCTATCTCTAGAAATTTGAGTATAAAAAGAGCGGATTCTGGGACAGTTTCCTGTTATTGACCAGATGCGGCAAACAAGCGTGTTTCCTCCCTTTAGACTCCTGGATGTTCCCGGACCTCGGTGCTCCCTCTAGAGGGAGGAGAAGGGAGACCAAGACTTTTAAGACAGTACACAAATACACAATTCACACTAGAGCAGGGTTACAGAAACGGAGTAACACGTGATGCGAGTACTACATTTTAATTCTCCTTTTCCTGATTTAAAGTAACGAACAGGTTAGAAATCTGAATGTAACGACAGAAACTTCATCAACTATAAATTAAGTCATGATTTTTATCTAGCCTTGACCCTGTCATCTTTTATACCAACTTCTCATTATATTCCTTAAATGAAAATGTAAAAGCTTTGCATTTCTCAGTGCTATCCCTTCAATTTCATAAATACTGCCACCTTGTGAATGCTATTAGATATGAGAGAGAGCATAAATTCAGGTATAAAGATGTCAAAACCATAAAGCTGATACAATGCTTTTAACTAGTCCATGCACAAATACATCCAATTTATAAAATGAGAACTAGCTGCCTCATGGCCACGTCTAAAAATTACATAAATGGACTTTAAAAGTTCATGAAAAATGAATTAAAGTATATTTTGGTCAGAAAAAAATGAGTTTTTTCATGACACACGTTTTCCATAAACTTTCTTAAGATCCCACACAGAAGGGCAGTTTAACAGTTTTTTTTTAAAAATGTCTTTTATGATGCTTGTAATACTAAGAAATACATTATCTCTTCTTCTTCTTCTTATTATTTTTTAAGAGAGATTTTTGCTATAGGGCACGTGTACTGGCCAGAAACAAAGAGACAGAGAGACAGAAAGCAAGAAATCACACCCCCACCCCCAGAAGGGATGGCCATGTCACAGTCCCTTCTCCTCCATTCTCTTCTAGGGATTTTGGACACGTACGCACATGTGCCTGGAGTGAGTTTTAAGCTGCTGGTCCAGGACTTGAACCATGGTCAACTATGTGGGAGTCCAGCGACATAATCATTATGCTATCTGCTGGTCTCTATTATTATTATTATTATTTTAATTAACTTTTTAAACCTGAAAAAATGATTCCTCACCATAATGGAAGAAATATGGGACCTAGAGTTAAGAGATTCGGGTTCCTAATATGGGCCCTTTATCTTATGAACTCTGGGCTTTGGGCCTCGATTCCCTAAGACTTTGCTTATCATATATAAAATGACACTGTCCCTCTAACTGCACTTTATAGAGGTTACAGGAAATGAGGTCCATGAAAGCAGAATACAAAATACAAAAGAAAAAATTCAAAACAAAAACCAGGATGAATTTTTATTGTCAGGCCGGCCAGTGGTATGGTAGTTAAAGTGGCTGGATCCCATATAGACAACTATGCAGTTCAAGTCCCAGAGCCAGCAGCTTGAAAAACATGCTGGGCATGTATATGTGCGTGCCCATAATCCCAAGACATGAATGGAAAAGAAGGGACTGCAGCATGGCCATCCCTCAGAGGATGCTTCTCACTTTCCCTCTCTCTTGCACTCTTCCTCTCTCTCTGTTTCTCTCTCTCTCTTGGATGAGTGCATGCGCCCTACAACAAACTTAAAACAGAAAAAATATTTTTTTGTTAGAGAAATTTTTGCTACAGGACACATGCATTTGCCAGAGAGACAGGAAGTGAGAAATCACCCCTAGGGGGATGGCCACACCACAGTTCCTTCTCCTCCATTCTTCTCTCAGGATCTTGGGCACACATGCACACACATCCAGTGTGAGTTTAAGCCACTGGGTCTGGGACTCAAACCATGGTCGACTACGTGGGAATTTCGTAATGTAACCATTATGCCATCTGCTGGTCCTGCTATGGTTAATTTTTCAATTTAAGAATTGCAGTGATTTCTGGGACCAGCAGATAGCGTAATGGCTACATCACTGGACTCCCATGTAGTAGACTGTGATTCGAGTCCTGAACCCAGTGGCTTAAACTCACGACGGGCGCATGTGCGTGCGTGCGTGCGTGCCTAAGATCCCAAAAGGAGAATGGAGAAGAAGGGATTGTGGCATGGCCGTCCCCACTGGGGAGTGATTTCTTGCTTTCTGTCTCTCTCTGTCTTTCTAGCGAGCACATACCTCTAAATAAATAAATAAATAAATACATACATACATACATACATACATACATACACACACACACACACACACACACACACACACAAATTGCAGCAATTCCAAATCCTGCACTTGACTCTGGAAAACGATGTCTCCAAAGCATTTCTGATGTGATGTCAGGATCTCTACCCAGTTTGGGGCCAAGTATTACTGACTGTATGGTATTTATCAATTCAAAGTAAGGTTCATCTGGATTCTTGAAGATTTCAACCAGCTGCCAATTTTAAATCACCCCTTATTTCAACAATTGTAGCAAAGGCAGGCAACCAGGTATGAGGAGGAATAACTACTATCCTGCCAGAAATGAATTATACACAAGAATGGGTCACCATGCCCTGAATACGCCTCTAACACCTTAACACTCTGCATGTTATCAATCGACTTCTTTATGCATATTGCTTATGGGTTAAATAGTTTTTATTGACATTTTGTTGATTCACTGGACTGAAAGGCATTTGCTATCACTACTATCCTTTCTTAAATGGTGAGACATTTGTCATAGCAGACAGCATTAAACGGTACCAAGAACTAATGGATGCAATCAGCCTTAATTCTGCTCAGCCTTGGGGCACACATAGGAAATATCACAGACAGTTTTCAAACAGGAGTGTTATAAGGCTGACTGGTTCAGTCTGGCACTAAGACCTGTGCGTAATTCTCTCACTCATCCCCACACTTGTGATGTGGTTCTTGCCAACGTCTACTGTTTTCTGGGTTCTAGGCTTATAAAATGAACGGAGACAGACTCCTTATCGTTGAAGGATTTACAGGTAAGTAGAAGAGAAACTAGTAAAGGGGTCATTATAAGGGAATTACAGCGTGTGGAAACACAGATCAGCAGAAAGCGGCAACTTAGAGCAGAACAGGGGCGGGACCTACGCTATCGGGACCAGACCTGAGTCCTGACGGCCACTACGCGGGTGGCATCGTGCATTCTGTGACTCCTGTCAGTGCTTCTAACCTTGGGAACAGACTCGGGACCCTAGCATCACTCTGGCTTGATGCTGGACTGAGCCTGAGGCTCTCTGGGTTTAACCTTCTTTATAATTAAGCCTGTGACAGAAATATCTGAGCTCCTCACCAAATCTAATCCCGCAGGACCTCCTCTTTCCATCAGAACACCCCAGCAAACCTTTGCTCTGACAGCAACAGTGTTCCCCTTGGACAGGGATAGACAGACAGAGACAGGAAGGCAAGAAGTTCAAAGAGCTCACCCTCAAGGACAACATCTTCACCAGAATCCTGTAAGCCAGAGAATCAATCTTACCTTTTCAAGCGGGCAATGGGTACTGTCCCGGAGGAAGGGCAGTAGGTTGGGCCGGTCGTACTCGGCGTACAGACTGATCTGTTTCTCATGGTAGCGCTGCCCCTTGTGATGGTCCCTCTTGAAAAGCTTATGCAAATACTAGAAGGAACAAAGAATATTAAAATAAGAAAACCAAGAGTATCAAAATAAGAAAAGCACTACCGGTCATGGTTGCTACTCTCAGTTCCACACGGCCCCCATGGACAAGCTGGGAGAGCAGTCCTGGGAAAGACCTCGAGGTGATGGGCGACAGGACAGCTTTGGGAAGACACGGGGATTCCAACGCTCTTACAGAAGGGCCCTGGTGAGTGGCCCCCACTGACCAACTCCATGACCGGGGGCAAGGCTTACCATCCCTGCCGAAAAGCTCATGGGCTGTTGTGAGGATTAAGTGAGTTAGTCCTTGTAAATCACACGGACCTCGCCTGCCGTGCACTGAGCACGATGAAACGGTATCTCATCACCTCTGCCCCGCCACGGAAACGAGATGCCTCATTAGTGGCGTCTTAGAGGACAGAAATTCCCTTGTCTTGTATAAAAGGGAGCAGAGGAGTGGGAAAAGCCAGGTGCTTCTTAACCAAGCAGCCAGGGCACTAGTTTTCACACACTCAGCCCCTCCTCAGTCGCGTCTCACTGAGACCTGCGTTTGCGGGAAAATGCCGCGTACACAGGGAAAGCCACAGCCGCCCTCCGGGAAATCTAGGATAAAGGCCTCAATGGCACAGCCACCAGGTCTTCACGAGAGACGTGGGAGTAGCACTGTCAGGGGAGGGACCAAAACAGGCTGTGCCCCAAGTGCTTCGTGGCCCCAGATGGAGTGGCTACGTGGTACTTCCTTAGCAGAGAACTTGTCTGGCGGGGAACCACTGGCTTTGGTCGCCATTTCTGCCGTGATTATATGAAAGGCAGTCTATCATACAGGAGTATGTGCTATACCCTCAGGCACAGGGATGAGGACGTGACCGGCAGTGTCCCTTGCCTCTGATCTGTCACATACACTGTTAATTTAGTAACTACAGAACAGTTTGGGGTCAAACCCCCGACCTGAGAACTAAGCTTTTTGCAGTTCACTCCAGCACCTTCACACCAGTACTTGAAGGGGCACACCCCCCGATCCAGTCAGAAGGGCAAAGGAGGATGGCCGTCATGCTCACCACGTGCTGCAGCTCTGGTCTGTCTTCCAACTCTTCCACCACCTTTTTAATCTAGAGGGAAAAAAATTAAACTTAAGAAATAAACAAATACAAACACGGTTGCAAAATGATCAGATCAAAATCTGTTTCCTTTATGGCTGCAGTGGTCCCAGAATCTGGTAACACAGATTATAAACAAAAGATACTCACTGAAATTTTATCTTCATTGTCCAAAAGCATATCAACAGCTTTCTGAAATAGGAAAGAAGGAGCCAGTCATTAAAATCGGCTCTGTAGGGAGAGCATGCATGTGGCTACCTCGGGTCAGGTGGGACGGCTCGTTTTCTCTACTGCAGGAGCCCCTCAGCTTTCCAGTGGCCCTGATGAAAATGACACTTGTAAGGAAAGGCCTTTTCAAATGGGTCTCAACCTGAGGCCCATGTTTCGCGTAGTACTAGAACACAGCACCTTGCTCTAATTTAGTAAATACAAAACATCTCGACAATACATTCGAGGCCCCTTGACATCTCAGATACCTTTGGAAGTTTCCATGTGCCTCATCACCAGCACCATGACATGAGCCTTACTTCACCTAAACCTGGACCAAGTCTCCCTAGGCGCTTCCACAGATGCAAGGAGACACGAAGAGGATGAGAGCCACAAAAAGACCAAGATCCCCACAGCTTCTCACTGAGGTAAAACCTGGGAACTTCCAGAACTGACGATTAGCTGTCCTTCACATTCATAAACAAGCGCGCTGTCCTGTCTCAGGGAACCAGGAAGCGAGATGATCAACGGAGCGTCCCACCGGACACCTGGTCCTGCCTTGACTTGCTGGCCTAGTGACGGGCACCAAAAGCTGAGTTTGCTCTCCAGAAAACGAGGACGCTGCAACAGACCAACCCTGATGTCGCCTCTTATTGAGGAAAGTTCCATGTCCTTTTCAAAAATCTTCTTTGTTGTTTCATTTTACGTTTATTTATGTTACATTCATTCGCTGTGTATCATCACAGCATACAAAATGAGTGTTCCCATCTAGAATTGCACACACTGGCTCAGTCAAGGATATTACCATGGATGTTATCGATAATAAGTGAGTTTCCATTTCTTGCTTCTTACATACTTTGCTCCCTCCCTCCTTGGTTCCCTCCCTCTCACCTTCTATGGCAATTAGCTTCAGCTCATTGCTCTTTTTTTCACAGCTACATAAGCAAAACTAGGCTCTGGAGACACATGGTGGGGTGGGCATGGGGAAAGGCAAGTCATTTTATACAGGCATCTCATCCTCTACCAGAGAAGCAGACCCCTCTCCCCGAATTTCCTTGGAACTGCATAATTCTTTTTGTAAAGCTACAGTACCTGAAGATTTGACTCATTTAAAAAAAAAAAATAGTAAGGGCTAAAACATCTTTGAGAAAAAAGAGGTAGTTCTAGCTTCTGTCTAGATCAAATTTAAGTTTGTGGAGACTAACATACAAAAAAATGCCTTTTAAGGACCAAGCGTTGGCATAATGGCTATGTCGCTAGACTCCCATGTAGTTGACCACAGTTCGAGTCCTGGTGGCTTAAACAGGCACTGGGTGCATGTACGTGCATGCCCAAGATCGTGAGAGGAGAATGGAGGAGAAGGGGTTGCGGCGTGGCCATCTCCCTGGTGGGTGATTTCTCACTTTTTGTTTCTCTGTCTGTCTGTCTCTGTCTTTCCGGTGAGCACATGCACCCTACAGTAAAAACCTCTTTAAAAAAAATGCCTTTTAGTAAAATACAATTGAAAATACATGAATCCTTTTAGAATCTTAGGGTTCTCCCTTTTTATTTATCTAAAATTTCAATTTTCTAAATAAGAACTCAGTACTTTATGAACCTCGTTAGCTCTATCACCAACACTTATAACTAGATTATTTTTCATGTGCTCACACACACAGATGTGCACACAACTGCATGCACAACTGTAAAAGTTCCACATGAAATTACAATTGCTTTTATAAAACAATCACACATCAAGAAAAAGATTTCCAAATGCCATCTCCTCAAATGACATCATCCGGAGAATTCTGAGTATGATGAGCCTACAGACAAGCCATGGGATTCATTTATCAACCCAGCAGCTGACAGATGTCTAATTACAATAAATTGGAATATAACTATATATTATATAATTAATTACATAATAAAAATTAACTTTATAATTTATTAGTACTAAAATAAGGAATACGTTACCTCTGAATCAAAATCCATTAACAAAACAATTTTATCCTTGATAGAACTGAAAAGATTATGCTTGTGGATCAACTGGAAAACATCTTTATGTCTTAAAGTCAGGTATATTTCCAGGGCATTGCCATAGTTTTTGTCATAGGTGTACCTGGTAACACAAAATTGTTACAATAATATTCATCAAGAGCTCCAATTATTAATAAAACACACATACACTCAGGTCATATTTTACACCATTAAAAGCAGACACACGGGGACCAGCAGATGGAGTAATGGTTAGGCTGCTGGACTCCCACACGGTCGACTGCAGTTCAGTTCCCAGACCTGGCGGCTTAAAACTTGCACCGGAATGTGTGCGTGTGTGCCCAAACTCCAGAGAGAAGAATGAAGAATAGACTGCGGCATGGCCATCCCCCCGGGGTGTGATTTATCACTTTCTGTCAATCTGTCGTTCTCCGCTCTCTGTCTCTGTGGTGAGTGCACACGCCCTATAGCAAAATCTCTCTAAAAACAAAACAAATGAAACAAGACTGAAACACTTGTCCAGAGAGGAAAGTTACCCTTATTTCAAAAGATAGTTCTTGAGATTAAAGTATACATGACCAATGTTTTTCTTTTCCTCACACTAAAATTTCAGAAAACTTACCGTATTCAAGTGCTAAAACTTCCTTTATTGGGAGTTCAGTCTCAAAGTTTAGACAGAAATCCAGACATTAGACAAAGAAACTATTTTCCAGAATGAAGGAAATTCTCATTTCAGTAACTGAAAACTCAGTTAAAAGTCGTACGAGCAGCATTCAGGTGATGAACAGATCATACCCGAAAGCTGATTTGTACGGGGGCTGCATAGAGCCGAAGTGTGCTTTTCTGTGGGAACGAAGGTTTCCACGTTATAGGCCCTCGCCAGCTCTGAAGCTGCACTGTTGGCCCATTATTAACCGCACTTCAGAAGCCGAGGGGCATCTGGAGCCATGTTTCCTAGAGATGACCATTAGTGCTCCAACTGCAAAAGCCACAAACACAACCTCCTCTGTGCAAAGCCCAACACAGGCATGGGCTCCGGGCCGTCTTAGTGGACCTCCCTTGTCAGAAGATGGGAGGTGACAGAAGTGGTGTGAGATGGAAGGAATGCTTCACAGGGGCTGAAGCAGGAGCAGTCTTCCTGAATAGACTTGCAGTGTCCTTTTTTTTGTCTTTTTTTTTTTTTTTTAATTTTTACATTAGAGAGATTTTTTGCTATAGGGTGTGTATGCTTGCTGGAAAGACAGAGAGAAACAGAGACAGAAAACGAGAAGTCACCTCCCCGGGCATACACTCACACACACACATACACACCTAGTGTGAGTTCTAAGCTGCGGGACTGGGACTCGAACTGTGGTTGATTATGTGTGAGTCCAGCGACATAACCATTACGCCATCTGCTGGTCCCACCCAGTGGTATACTTCTGTTTCCCTAGACTGACGCTCCTTGGAGGGCACAAGTGTCTCTGAGCTACCTCTGTATTACAGGCATCCAGCAGAAAGCCGGGTCACTAGAAGTGCCCAATAAGTATGAGAAACATTAACCAAGTTTCCATCTTCTGAGCCTGGATTCAGCTCCATGCTTAAATGACATCTCATTTAAAGCTTAAAATGATTCTCCAAGGAATTGTTACCTCTGTTGTTACAGAGTCTGATTTTGGGGAGGTAACTGATTCGAAGATCTGAGGTTAACAGAATCCAGTGCCTCATTCCCTGAGAAACCACTTTTTGCTTAAATGCTCTAAAACCTGGCACCCCCCGCCCCTACTGCTGCCATGTGCTGTGGGCCAGGGCCCCCTCCCTGGGAAGCAGGGCACGTTACAACCGCTCAGCAGCATACTCGGCCCTGACCGTCTCGCTGTGCACGTCAGGCGTACGAAAGCTTTTTAGAGCGATGATGGGAAATGGCGTAAAAGGTTTCCTCCCCGTTCACAGTCTGCCAAATCTGAAGTCTGAAAACCTCCCGTGTGGACCGATGAGGAAAAAGCAGTACTCAGACACACTCACAATTCTGCCAGGGTCTTCAGTAACGTCTTGTTCTGACTGTCTTTCTTCAGATGATCCCGGACGGCTTGAACTATTACTGAGTTGTTATACAGATCTCCTGGCCATTCTCGAACCAACGTGGCAAATCCCTAACCAAGGGGCAAGAAAGAGAAAGAGAACACTTCACATGGCTAACAGTCCAAATATTAACTGATGCTTGAAAGTACTCATGCGACGGACCTAGTGGTTTATGATTACGACTTTGGTCATAAACAGTTCATCCATTTCTGGATGAGGACGTGGGAGGGCAGGGAGAATTACTGTATGAATAATCTCCACAGGACAGTCCTGGGACAGTGGAAGGGCCATCCGCTCCTGCCCTTCTCTTTACAAATGCACGAGTAGGAAGGCACTCGGCTGCTTCCCTAGAGCACCACTGAACAGTGTGAACTGTGGGCCTTCTCGTCGCAGGCCACCTACACCACCTGGATGACATTATCGCCAGTCACAGACACCATCTCGGCAGGGACGCTCCCCACCCAACAGGTCGTGCCACCGAGCACTGTGCAACACGACCGTGCACAGCAGCCCTGCCCGGCACACGCTGCCCCCGGGGGGAGATCGGCTGCCCATCTAGCCTTG